TATGTATAGTGATGAATTGTATAAATTATTAAAAAAATGTGTTGTATACATAATATTATACATTATTATTATAATATATATTTTGCAGTCATCGATATAATAACAACACAACACTTTGTTATTTAGCTAATAATATTAAAGCTTACGACGTATCCGGAATACTTCGGACAGTTCGGTTGGACATAATAATGTTTATGACGGATATAATATAATTATATTTTTAAACGGAATATTTGGGTCGGTCAACTCTGCAATGGCAAAACTGTATTTAGGTCTGTTATTTATAATAGTGAATATATTTCACGCGCGTCGGTTAATATAATATAATGACATGCGTTCCTCATTTAAATTTTACAAAAATAAAAAAATGTACCAAAAGCTTAACATATAGGTATACATTAGCTATAAAAAAACAAAATTAACATATTGTTATTTTTCTGGCAATTATTTTATTTAGAAAAAAAAATTCTTTTATCTTTTAATTTAATATAGCGTTGTACAAATTATTTATTACACAAAACACAAAAAAAAACTATTAATATATTATTTTATTTTTACATTGAAAAAAACCTGTAAATGTAAAATAATAAAACATTTTTGTAAATAATAATAATAATAATAACACAATCATCTCGATACAAAAAAATATTCATACGAAGACAACGTTACTATATTATAATTATAATACGAAACTGCATATTATATTCTAATATGTGCTTTATTTGTCAATTTTACTAATCGAGAAAACATATTAAAATATTTAACAGTTAAAATAATATACAGAGCCAAAAGCCAAAACAGAAGCCAAAAACAATGTCCAATTCTCTCTTCGCATTCCGAATTATATATCTAATCATTAATTTAATTCATTAGGGCGTTCAACTATCAATGTTATTTATGGATTGGTTGGTAAACCAAAATATTGAAAGTATTCGTTTTAATTATGACTTTGTCATAACAACTATGTATTTCTTTAAATAATACAATGGCCATTATAAATGCTGTGGCTCAGAAGGTAAAAATTTATATGAATATACAATGTGAACTTTTGTGATTCAGTCTTTTTCGCAGAAAACACATGAACTCGAACGAATACTATAAGGTACGTTTAACGTGAAATACGTTGCACATTTATTGTCCACGCGCTGTGCATAAATTGGCGTTTGTAATACATTATCATGTGTATAGGTACGCGTATATACATATTATATGGCTTAGGTTATTTTTGTGTAGGTTGCATCTCGCTGCAAAAGTCGAGAAAAAGTATATAAGTAATATATAAGTCGCATAATAGTCGTATTACACAGCGTTTACGTGAAAAAAAAAATACATTAAACATGTTAGTCATTAGTTCAATTGTAGCGGTGGATAGAGCTGCTAGCTCTATATTATGTCTTGTTTAAATTTTTTTTTCCCTCTTTTTACTCTTCGGAGACCTTCGACTTTTTACACGTCGTAAACACGACGAAATACCCCGACAGCTGCCTGTCAGTGCGTGCTGCGGCGGGACGCGACGACGGTGTGCGTCTTCTGTATGACTGCTGCAGCGCGTTTCCCAAAAGGGAGACCCGGTGGGGTCAAAAGAATTGGCGTCACGTGTTAATCATTTAAACGCGCAAGTTGGTTTTTATTTTATTCCGGTATTTTACGTCGTTCGAGTGGTGTATCTGTCTTGCGCCGGTGGTATTTTTTGTTCCCTTTTTCTTTTTAACATTATTTTTTTGTGGTTTTATAATACTATACATCCTGTGGTTAATCGAGGCTGAGAGAAAATGCCTCCAAAAATAGAATAACACATAATATTGTTATTATCATTATTATTATATACTGCATATAGGTATAGTTGACGGTGGATACGAACGACCCGCGCCACCGCTGCCGTTGTGTTAAACGAATGTCAGGATACTTTATGACGTTCATTTAAATGGAATCCGTAAGGTGCAGGATATAATAAACGTAACCACAAGAGTATGTATAGTATAATATCTGAACTGGGGAAATTTTTGATATAATTCACTGCATATTATGTATATAGCGTTATGATGAATGTGTATTTGAATACGTCTTACGCCACTCGTACTTAAATAATAAATACATATAGGTATATACATACACGGAATACGAATATAATAATAATATATATTTACAAGACAGTAATAAACGTTAACCTTATATGCGCATGGGTAAAACAATATAATACGAATGAGTATAATATGTACACTCGGCGTGTATAATGCATCTACAGGTTAGCGATCGTTTTGAAAATACATATAGGATTAGTTTTAAATTAAAAGAAAAACATTAAATAAATTATGAGTTAGCATTAAAAATCGCGTCCACGCATTTGCCTGTTGTATACATATTATTATGTAAAAAAAAAAAACTATATAGTCAGGAAAATCACATTCAATATGCGATCGTGATGCAGCTGTTCCCGAGTACAACTGCATGCGGGATAAAAAATGAAATCCAACCATTAATTAACGTTTTGATATATCGTCTGATCAAATTCAATATAAACCTATTAAAACTTGACAAAACCAAAACTGTTACCATGTTCAAATAATAAGTGTCAGTGTCATAAATATAATATAAGTTATCATATGTGAAATACAGTCGAGTCGCGATAACTCTAAAAACTCGACAACTCAAACTATTTTTATTTCCCTCGAAATTATATAGTTTATATTAAATTTTCGAGTTTTCACTAAAATAATACAGAGTATCTTAAATTTATATTTTTTTTTTTTATCGACGTTCAACATTAAGTATAGCGGTGACCAGAGCTTGTATTCAGGAGAGGGACCAACCCGAAATAATTAATAGACTATGTTTTTAATGTAATAATGAAACCTAATGTCTTGAAAATTCATATTTTAAGAAATTATACGTAGATATAAATATAAATGAATAATGATGAACACACATACAACTATAATAAATAAAGACAATGCTACAACAGAATATCATTCAATTAATCGTGAAATTATAATAATAATAGAGCACTGAATTTCAATTGATTCCAAGTTTTTTGACTGTTTTTTTAAACGTTTTAAATTGTTCTTTATATTATTTCACTAACATTTCAATATATTTTGTACTTTTTTAATATTCGACTGAGGACTTAAGTAAAATTTATATAAATTTTAAAGTTTGTAAAATATAAAACGTTCCAAAAAAAATATGTTTACGCATAAAATAAACATTCAAAAGATGAACGGCTTTGTTACCGAGTGTGTGTACTGGGAAGAAAATATCACTCCCTTGGCGCCCGCCAACGGCAAAAGATTTGTAATATTGGTTTGTATTTTTGTGCCAAAAAAAATAAATTGCGAACAACTGTATTATTTTTAGGAAGTCGCGGAAAAAACTTAGATAAATTACGATAAATTACAATTGGTATTTTTGTTTTTAATAGCCCTAAAATGTATTTATATTGTTCACTCTGAGTACATGTATCTCTAACAAATTTTACGTTGCTGTTTGTAACTATAAATAATAAATGTATTTAATAACAGTATATTATTATTATAGTGACTTTAAAATACAGAAATACATTAGACTTGCAGTTGCCCAAACTATTTTATATTTCAAGTTATGTCTTGTTTGTATAATTATGTTTACTCTACAAAATATTTATGTTTTATTTTATAAATATTATTTTTGTATATATAAGTTTATGTACGAACAACGGAATAATCTTTGTTTAACCATTAGAATTTATGACTGACTACTGCCAGTAAATACTAAATATCGAAATTTCGGACTTTACGGATTTATGTTTGTAAATTCTGAAATAGACAAATTATTTGTAAAAACATGCACTACCTACAGTAAATAATATTTTATGTATTTAAATAATTTGATTAATTTTATATTTTGAGTTAATTTAATATTGTACCTATTATTAGTTATTGTATCAAATAATGTTTATAATTGTTTTTATTATACAATTTTTTTTTTTTAATATTTTAATTCCAGGAAACAATAACCAATGCAACATATAAGCAAACCTTTCATTGTGTTTAACCTAACCTCGTTATAATACTACATTATACACTATATTTTTTAATGTTTTACATTTATTGATAAAATAAAATAAAAACACTACCTATTCTTAAATAATAGTTTCACTCTTACAAATTTTATAAATTGAACATTTTATTTCATAACTTAAATTATATCTTACATCTATTTTGGACTCAACCTTAAAAGATAGCTTATCCATTTTTCATTTGTAGGAGAGTCCTGAATTAAATATAAAGTATTCGAAGTTTGACCAGATTAATTTAAATAATATCTTAGCGAAGATCAATCGGTAAAACCCCAAATTCGGACATTTACCAGTATTTAAAAGTAAAATTTTGGTATTAATCATAAAACCTAGTACCTACCTATAAAATATTTTTTTTTGCGGCAAATGTAAAAAGTACCAGAAAATCTATTTTATATACGTATTATATATTTATATATAAGAAGTATCTGGGTAGAATTATTGATGCATATCAGTATATCGCAATATAGGATGGTCGAATGAAATTTTACTATACTTACAAAAATATGACATGTTACGATGTTAATGTTTGAAAAATAATTGAAATTAATATTATGCACACGCAATAAAAACGTCATATTATTATAATATGGTATTGCACAAACCGATGTTTTTTGTAATCTTCAGCGTACAATGTACAGTGCAGCAGCCGATAAATAAGTGCATGGCATATATTATATTGTACACTACACATCGGGGGTAATAATTGAATGCATCCGATAAATTGTCCACCGAGAAAAATGGACAAGGACAATAGGGAAATATATTCACGACACTTGGCCGTTGTCCGACGGCGGCGATTGTGTCTTGATAAATTACCCTTTACAAATATGTATTATAATAATACTAATGAAAAATATATATATATATATATTATGTGTACATTTTATACAGTCGTGTATCACACAGGGTGAGTAGAATGGAAAAAAAATCACACCCCACTTACCGTTCAGCTCCAAACACTTTAACGACGGTTGCTTAAGGCCCAAGAGCGACGAGACTCTGTTCGAGTTTAGGGTCAAAACCTGTAAAAAATATAATAAAACGAATATTATACAACACTATTGTTATCCATTAAGATAAAAAAAAAAATGAAAAAAAAAAACATTATTAATGATAAGAATAAGTCGGGGTGCCGGTAATGGTATATTATATGTGTCATAACACTTTATCCTCCCACGGAGGAGTCGATTATCTCGTACAATATTGTATTATTACTATATTTTATACCTGTAGATACGGCATTGGAGACAGACAAAGGGAATCGATATTGTTGTGATCAGCTCGTACCACAACCACGTACCCCAACTCTCTGAGCACGTCCAAAGCGTTCAAGTCCAAGTGATTGTGCGACACGTTTATGAAAGACAAATACTTGAAGTTGGTGATTTCCTCGATGTTTGTAAGGTTTCTAAAACGATTAAAACAAGATGATAGTCAGATGTTGTTGTTGTTTTCATGTAGAATTTTATAACACCAACTCGTACATATTATATTCACAGTATAATTAATTATATCTACAATGGATAATATTATTATTCGTTTTACAAATAGAAAATTACACTATTTCTCGATAAGCGCGAGCAATCGGGTATACAATGAATGAAATTCAAATTTATCCTTTTTTTTCAACACAATTTCTATATGTATGAATAAATTATGTAATTTTGTGGACTTTTAAAATTCATTTTTTTTTTTGTTATACATCTATTTTCGGAGTTTGTTTAATTTAGTGCTAAAGCTCTATATTGGTTCTATTTTATCATAGGCTATATTTACTGTTTAAATAAATAAAATATAACTTAAAGTAAATGAACATGTGAATATTTTATTATTTAATATATTTCCATAAAACTAAAGGGAATTAATATAGGGGAATCCACCAAGCGTATAACTATGTAAGTAAAGTATGAAGTAAATTGTTTACTAATGTGAACTACAATTTTTTACTGTAAATGGTTATGGAGATAACTTTTTTTGAAAATGGTTAGCTTTACCAATGGGAACACCGAAGTGTTTTAATATCAGAAAAAAATTATTAAAATTGTTACAATATGGTAGTATTATGGTACAGCCATTTGTGTATAGGTATTTCAAATGTATACATCGTATTAAACTTAAATCTTCGACTCTGACATTTGATGGTTCGGTTTTTTTTTTACCCATACCTAATAATGCCGTTAATAGTTTTAAGTCGCATCTCACCTATTGTCGACGTCGATTTGAACGAAACCGTACTTTAAACCGTTTCCGACTTGGCCGATGCGATTCAGACATTTCCTGGCTTCGACGGCGGTCAGCGGGGTTTCGATGTATGCGTCCTCTTCCAATATGGATCTCGATCGTTGCGGATACTATAAAAAGTACGATATTTTTCATAAGCCATAGTCAGATAAATGTTTTTGTAATAATAAAAGTTACTAACGTAACTTTGTTACAGTTTTTTTTTTTGTTGTTGTTCTATTTGAAGATACGTACTTTTACCCTCTTGTTTTTGCAGACTTCAAATCCTTCTTCGCAATCCTCGGGGTACCCTTCTTCGGCATAGTTCTCGTAGCCATAACTATTAACCCACTCCTCCGGATATGCGTTTTCGTCAGTGACTGCTAATTCGCTGCGGACGGTGTTTTTAACGCCGTCACTGCCACTTTTCAATTGGGTGCGATCGAGTTGTTCGGACAATACTGCAGAAATCTATAGACAAATATTATTGACTTAATATTCACTTATACGACAATAAACGCATTTCGACTACACTATACGGATACAGTATACTGCAATTATATTATCATAATAATAACATTGTGCAGGTACATAACTTCTGCAGTGATAACGTAAATTAGTACCTATAGGTAATGTGAATTCATTCGACGTGTTATAGTGAAAAATTAGATTTTTCTTAACTTTTAAAATTTAACACTTACATTTTTTTTAATCATAATTATATTAATCAGTAGAATAAATGTGATCCTGAAAATGAACGATTTCTCCAAAGTGAGTCACGCAAATAATATTTTAGAAATAACACAACGAATATAATAATATAATGCGTCGTGTATAGTCAGTAGATAATGCAATCGTCAAACGGTCTGTAGTTTATGTAGAAATACGTTTTTATTCCATAGTTACTGCTTAACACAGCAATTACATTTTAAAAAACACTAGATCTGTCGACACAATCAATTAAAATATGTTTCGTGTGTCTGGTTAGGTACCACATTTTTTTTTTATCGCCATCACAAGTAACCGAAATAGAAACGAAATATGATGAAGGGATGTGGGTCGTTGGTCTTGCTCAACCCTTTCCAGGATAGTGGATGTCAGGGGGAAAGGATTTCGAAAACAGGGAGTTATATTTTTAAAATTTATTACCGGAGGAAGAAAGTATATACAGAAACACGATACGTGACGGTGTCGTGTACTAAAAAATATGACGTTTTTCCATATTGCAACTACTAATGCCAGATGCACTTCTTCACGTTCACGAGTGCGTGTCGTCTAGTTATGGTTTTTTTTTTAATTGAAACTTTTACTCCTCTCGCAATGATCAAGATGTAAACTCTTTTAAGAAACTAATAATATAGTTAAATATACCTACACACGATATACCACATATTTGACGAGCGTAATGCCAACAAAATGTCACACAATTTTACTGTTTTAATGTAGTTGTATCTTTTTATACCATTAAGTAATTGTTATATTATGTATATTATTATTATATAATATTTTTTTTCGTTTATAAGAAATGTAGAATCTTTATTGACCTTATCCAAGGCACAATATGAGCGTATGGGATAATGGTAAATTACATACCTTCATAAAAAAAGTAAATACATATTTAAATAAGCAGACTCACGATAAGGCGAGAAGTCACTCATCATAATAAAACTCACAAAAGGTTTTTTTCTAATATACACATATTACAATGTATATTAGTATGTAATGTATAAACTCGTTTAAAGCCGAAGTAAAAAAGTATACAATATTTTAATATTTTGGCATTGAAATAATAAAACATTTCGTACTTCAACTGATAATAATATACATTAGGACATTGGGTTTAGGTAGTAGATTTTTTAAGCAATTTTTATGTCAAGCTGTAATATTTATTGTGGTGATTTGAGATTGAAATATTTAACATTTATGTTATATTAAATTAGTAGTAAGTTGGTAACGCAATCAATTAAAAATATTTTGGTGTTATTCATAATATTGATTTATAAGAAATTCACAACAATGGATTACATTTCTGCCTAAAAAGTAAATAATTTTTATTTAAAAAAAAAAGTTGTTCCAAACCGATTTATAAACGAAACACGCCGGTTTACTTTTTTGACCACGACGACGAGGTGATCGAGAAATACCAATTATCCACCTCCCTAAAGTTGATTTTTACTTTTTTCATTAATATTGCTATCACGTTAATTTATTATCGTAATAATAAATTGTGGGAGGGATATACTGATCTGTCGACGAATTTCATACTAAACCGGTAGAACGTTTTGGACCACGTTGATTAACATAGTAACTGAAAAATCTGTACCACTTTGGTACATTGATTTATCCTATATCGAACTTCTAATATGTATATTTATATAATAATATTATGTACCTACCTACTTTGAAATACTACAATATAGATTTTTAATAATCGTACTTATTATAATATAATTTAATATTTTATGATTAATTTTTCAACCGATATAGACAATTATAATATTGTTGCAATATTTTACTTCATATGCCAATTTTTCTTTTAAGCCAATTAAACAACAGTAATATTTTTCATCGTGCATATTAACGTACGACATTAAACATCACATAAAATGTATATTGCGGCAATTACAAGCTTATATAAACGTAAAACAACGATAAAGGAAGCGATTACCAACACGAAGTATAATACCTATGTAAAAATGATAATATTATATTGACAAGCTCGACGGTGTGCGATTATTTCATTATTATTATTATTGTTATTATTATTTCTTACTCTGAGAAATAAAATCGAAGAACCCTTTTTTATGGATGTCAATAATGTACGTCGTGCGTAAGGTGAGAGATAATTGGATTTTAGATTTTCAGTAAAAAACGTTTTACATGATGGCAACGAAGAATGGATATTCGCATGAAATCGCTGTCTAGACGCAAACGACTTGGAAGCGCTTCAATTGTAAATCATATAGCACTCGGACAATCAAAATCGTGCAAAAACGATAAAAAAAATAAAGAATAATAAATAAAAAGAAAAAAAACGAACCGAGGGCAAAACGAGAAGAAACGATTGGCCCGTGAAAATTATGCTTGAGAGTGAAAAAAAAATTGTGTGTTTATTTAAATTAAGATTTTAATTTCAGATAACATGTCGTACTCATAGAAAACGGAGCCGCGTGCTATCTCGACCACGGATGATGTGACGGCACGGCCCACAAACATGACTTGGCTGTTTTGGCCAGAAAAATACTCGGCCCGGGCAGGGTCACTGTGTGCACCGAGTGAGCGTGTACGATGATTTCCATTGTATGGAAAAATATCAAAACGATATTATCAATCATAGCCGAGCTGCATTATACTTTATACCCGCAGTCGAGATAGGAATGTGCTATATAAATTATTTTTATATCATATTATTATATGGCCAAAAGAATAATTTACTATAGAAATTGTATAATATCAATAAACCATATGCACGCGTACACTGCACCCACAACACCAAGAGTGTAGCAGGACGCTCTGAAGGACAGCGTAAATATTATAGCGAGTTATTTCAAATATTGTTTAGGACTATTGGGAGCTATAGGTACCTGCAGCAATAACTAGGTTGCATCAGAATTGGTTTACAATATTTTATGAGGCACACACATCTAAACATCATTATATATTTCAGAAGATGACCTTTTCCCAATAGTATTTTCTACTATTTTCTACTTTATAAAATTATTTCATTACGATTTGTATTAACCTACCACTTTTATATTATGTACTATTACTACTGATGAGTGATTGATAAGTTAGAAATTGTATTGAGTACTAAAATGGTGTTATTCACAAAATATTTATTTTAAAAACAAACATATCGAATAGAATATATCACATATAAATATATATATATAAAATATATACCTAAATAGTTAATACATATTAAATATATGTATATATACTATACATATTATACAGAAGATAAAATAAAATGATGGATCACTGACGTGACTTATAAAACGGCTGAGAACTGAATGAAGACTACCTATAGGGGAGAGCGAAAATTGAAGCAGTATGTATTTCTTGTTTAGTAACTGAGAACACTGAAATTAACGTTTTCTCTAATGGGAGGGTGAATCACTCAAACGAATTTATAGTTTGCACTATTATTATCGTTTCGGCTTATAAGTTATAATATAAAATTATGTTATTATATACATAAAGTTATCTGCACGTTAACACAATATTATATTGGACGTCTGGATATGATTGCATAACGTATTTAAAGCTTTCAATATCATTTTGAATTAATATATTATAAAAAAAAAGAAATAATAATATAACAAGCCCATTCGTATATATTTCGACACTGTATTTAATTTCAATAATCGTAGGTACTGAATATATAGATACGATCGCGATTGATTCAGGATATACATATTATTATCTTTGCTATTTCCTTGAAACAAGTTTTAATGTTAGACTGACATTAGGTGTAAACATAGCCATCACAACCTGCAAGTATATTATATAATGTATATAAGTGGCTACACGGTCAGTGCCTCAGTCTTATTCACAGAATAATTTTAGCCAGACCCTAATGGTGGAATTTGGAGCAGTGTCCAGTATATTATCTGAAATCAAGTTTGTATACTGGAAACATTTTCTCAGAAATGAAACTTGTTTAGTTTGTATTCAATATTATTTTAAGGCAGAATCTAATGTGTCTAATAAAATCCTTAAAATGACATATTATGTAAGAGTTTTTATAATAATTAGAAATGATTGTTTGACTAAAAAGTTTAATATAAAGATAATTATAGTTACTCCAAATATTCTTGTGGGTACCATCTTCTAATTATTTTTATTATTGAACATTTTGGTCCAACATAAAGTCTTACTGCAAAAATAATTAACTAACAAGGACATTATCAATCAAAAGGTTTTTTAGGTAACCATTTTAGCTTACTATAATTACAAAATTAATATGGTAAAAGAAAGTTGTGTGAATTGCATGATATCTAGTGACCTTTGTATCAGCCACTGACTGTAATATATTAATGTGCCGTACTCTGCAGACATACTTATTACATAAAAGCAATATAGTTTTTATCTCTTGTATTTAATTTATATTATACTTATATTACCTATAATATATAGATAGTAGGTACTAAACACTATTATTATATTAATATTAACGGGTGACACATATGTGTAATAATTGAAAATATCAGTAACATTATAGTAGTGCACATTGTTCGTATAAACTAATTTCATCTCATTTGAAAATTCGACATTTTTCAATATGGGTAAATTTCAAAACACTATCAATGTCTCGTCAAATAAATGAACTCCAGTCCAGGACAAGATCGTTCGCAGCTATGTTCAAAATCGAATAGACTCACGAATAAAAAGTAGTAACAACTTTACAATTTTCACTCGTCAGTTGTCGGGATCTTACTGGAAAGATAATCACCGCAGTAGCAGCTGCGTATCGAAACAAAGACCGCGATCTAAAAAACAATATGAATCGTTTTCAATGAAGCCACAAAGCCTAAACCAGTCGTTTTTCGTAGGTACACGTTCGTCTTAATCCCGGACCTTGAACATTCGGTGGCGTGCGTATAGATTCAACACGAGATTGATGGTCTAGAACAGAACATTATGTATATATTATTACTGAAGGTACGTACTTGAAATATCAGTACGTGTTGTGGATATAGACTTTGAGAATGAT